TGTGGTGCTGAGGATCGAACCCGGGCCGCACGCATGCCAGGCGCGCGCGCTACCGCTTGAGCCACATCCCCAGCCCCTAATTTTTTCTTAAAAAACAATTAAAATAGAAACTAAGACATTTGTTATTAAGTGGGTAAAAATTTTGATTAATATATTGATGGATATAAACATGGAAAATTGTGACTGATAAAGACATTTAATATAATGGCTTCAATATTATAAGTCCCTATGATTAATGTTCAGTAGGCCAGTTCTTCAATTTTTTTTTTAGGTCATTTTGAATTACAGTTTTGTAAATATTTGTTAAGTATATGAATTTCAGATTTTGTAATTTGTAAAGTAGAAAAATGGTACATTTGAACCCCTGTCAGGATTTTTAAAATAATAAGCCATGTGGGGCATCTTAGCACATTTCTTTTTCATATTTGCACACAGTACAATTCTAGAGAGAAATGAGTTGGAGGTATAGTCTAGTGTCCTGAGCAAAAGAGAAAATTGCCTTAGGCTATTTCTAAAGCTTTTAACTTTTCAAAATTTTTGGTAATTTGAAAAAAAATATTTTCAAAACGGATTGTTTGAAATTAATTATTTATCTTTCCTGCATTCTTTTTCACTTTCATTTAATTTTTTTAGAAGAACTAACAGAACAGAATTACAAAAATGTTCCATGTAAATATAAAAGTATGTTTATAATGATCAAGATAGAAAGCAGAAGCAAAACATCATCTAGTTTGATGGGTCTGCCTTAAACTAGAGAGTTACATATCTATTTCTGCCATTCTTCACTAGGCTCCTGAGGTTGCAAAAATCACCAGCCAACAAAGAGAAATGTCTTTTTAGTTTGTTTGTTTCGCACAAATAATTCAAGCTAAAATACACTAGTATCACTGTGGTTTCAGACCAAAGTGTGTTTTTAAATGATAAAAATAACATGTATACGTAAATATATAAATAAGTATAAAATAAAATATAATGTTAGATAGATATTTTTGCCTGGATAATCATTTGTACATATTTTCCTTTAGACACAGTTCTGGGAACAAAGTGTCACAAATAAGACATGGATCCTACATTGCTACACAGAGTAATTAAGGCACATACTAAGAGCTTGGTATAAAACTTGGCAGAGAGACATAAATAAGTAGAGAACGCCATAGAAAATTATATCTAAATGCTAAGCAGCAAATTCATAGTCTATAAGTACATGAAGAGACAAGTTATCATAGCATATTTTATGACTGAGTTGCTGCTAATATACAGAGATAGAGATATTTATTAAGAGATGGTTTTATGCATATTTTTGGTTTAAAAAGGGAAAGATCAAATAATGTAGTTGATTTAAACATGAGCAATTAATATTTTTCTGCGTTCAGTACCTTTTTTAGCAGATATATAAATTGTAATTAATTCCAACCAGTAAAGTGGAGAAATCATATAAAGATTATTCACTATGAATAAAACTACTTAAAAATAGTACCAAAGCTTCCATTCCTGTCCAAATGTTTATTCCTGACCAAAGGGGAAAAAAAAAAAAAACAACCCTGCTTCTTTTGAACCATTTCTGTAGATATGATTTTTTTAATAAATATTTTTGTGATTTTTTTGCACATTACTTGATATATTTATGCTTCACATTTTCTCTTCTGTGCAAAATATAGACCTGAGAAAGACTCAAATCTCTGCTGCCTACTCTACAAAGACTTTTGATTTCTCCCAGCACATGTTCCATCTACCTATTTTACCACCTACATTCTGAAAGAAAAAATTTCTAACTTCTAAACTCCCTTGATATTTGATCTATCTTTTAATTTTTAAGCTTATATCATTTCTATAATGAATACAGTGCTTTCAGTAAAGAATGGCTATTATTATGCACCTGGCTTATTTACAGGAGTTTTGTTTTGTTCTTTGGTTTTATTTACAGTGAAGTTAAAAAAAAAAAAAGGTTAATGTTGAAAAAGAACACAAAGAAAAGACCACCAACTCCAATTTGAAATCAAATTAAATCAAGATTGTATTGTGTACACAAAAGCTGGCCAGAACTGTCTCTTACAAAACTCCATGCTAGAGATCACCCCCTGATCTTCAGGAAAAAGTTTTTACGGCACAAAATGTTACAAAGAAGGTGGGTATCTCGGGTACTATATAGCTAACACGATTTTGACAAGCATAAAACAAAGGCAGATAGCAGGTTAAGGATCTACATGTCTGAACATTTCAAGGTAGGGAATAAATTCAACTCCAGACATTAGAATTTATGAGCTGCCACTGAAATTTAGAGAGAGTTGTTATTTAGTCAGTGGGAGCCAGGATTTATAAGGCACCAGTAAGGTTTTAGAGAGAGTTGTTATCTGGCCATGGATAGCCAGGCATAGGTGAATTCAAAGCACAGGTAGAAATTCCAAACAAGTTTAAAATATCAAAATATTCTCAGGCCAAAGAGAAATTTTAGTTTTTTTACAGAAAACAAAAATAAACTTTTTATAGCTTTTTGACAAGATGGCTCCCATTCTTACATTGGAATTAGGCTGGGTTCACGATTAATACTGTTCAGAGTCAAAAGATTGGTTTAAAATCCCAGGCCTTTTATATTATGTCATTGAAATATTCATACCAATGGTGACCACACCAGGTGAAAAGATTAATAATTGGAAAATAATTTCCTATACAATAGTAAATATAAAATTGGTTTCTTTCTTCTCTTTAAAAGTTCTTTAGCACAGTTCATGTTACCAACATTTGTTGTATATTTTCTATCTAGCTTTATTATTAAGGCTTACATTTACTTTTGTTTGATAGGGAAACTATGTTAAATTTAATTTCTTCAAATGGTCAATGTCAAGATTCGATTGGATGTTCCAGCAGAGGTTCGAATGAAGCACTTGTGATATGTTTAAGGCAAACCTCTATAAGACTACAGCTGCTTGTTCATGTGATTGCTTTTGTTTTCCTAAAATAAGTGAAGTTTTGTATGGTAAAACAATAAAAGTATCAAAACAGTAAGATACAAATTGAATTTTGAAGTGGAAATATATAGCTCACAGTCATACTTTGTTTGATTCACCTACAGACAATGTTACAAAACAAATATTTTGCAAAGTTCTGGTAAATGATATATAAAAACATTTTTAAAACTCAATGATAAAGAGGCATAACCCATTTCCTAGAGGTGTGCAAAAAATTAGAAAATTGTTCATAAAAGAAGATGTACAAAATATCAGTAACAAAAAAGAAACCAGTCTTCAGATAAATGCAAATTAAAATCTG